TGCGCTATTCGTTAGCGACTGGCAATTGGGGCGACCAGAAGAAGGCGCATACGGCCAGAGCTGGTGTCTCACAGGTGTTGAATCGACTGACATATGCCTCAACTCTTTCCCATTTACGTCGTGTGAACTCTCCGATCGGAAGAGACGGCAAACTCGCAAAACCGCGTCAATTACACAACACTTTGTGGGGAATGATATGTCCGGCGGAGACACCCGAAGGACACGCCGTCGGACTCGTCAAGAACTTGGCTCTAATGGCGTACATTTCGGTCGGTTCTCAACCCTCACCTATACTTGAGTTCTTAGAGGAGTGGTCGATGGAAAACCTCGAAGAGATCGCACCGTCAGCCATATCCGAGGCCACGAAGATCTTTGTGAACGGCTGTTGGGTTGGCATTCATAGAGAGCCCGACCTATTGATGAATACATTAAGGAAACTGAGGCGTCAAATGGATATTATTGTATCCGAAGTATCGATGGTTCGGGATATCAGAGATCGAGAGATCCGTATTTATACCGACGCCGGAAGGATATGTCGTCCGCTTCTGATCGTTGAGAACCAGAAATTGTTGCTTAAGAAGCGTCACATAGAAATGCTTAAAGAGCGGGAGTATAACAGCTATAGTTGGCACGATTTGGTGGCCTCAGGTGTTGTCGAGTATATCGATACTCTCGAAGAGGAGACTGTAATGATTGCGATGACACCCGACGACCTCCAGGACAGTGAGATGGCCTACTGTTCCACTTATACCCACTGCGAGATTCACCCGTCGATGATATTAGGCGTTTGCGCCTCTATTATCCCGTTTCCCGATCACAACCAATCGCCTCGTAATACATACCAATCAGCTATGGGTAAGCAAGCGATGGGCGTCTATANAGGACAGTGAGATGGCCTACTGTTCCACTTATACCCACTGCGAGATTCACCCGTCGATGATATTAGGCGTTTGCGCCTCTATTATCCCGTTTCCCGATCACAACCAATCGCCTCGTAATACATACCAATCAGCTATGGGTAAGCAAGCGATGGGCGTCTATATCACCAATTTTCACGTCCGAATGGACACATTGGCTCACGTCCTGTATTATCCGCAAAAACCATTGGTCACCACCCGATCCATGGAATATCTGCGCTTCAGAGAACTTCCGGCCGGTATTAACGCGATTGTGGCGATTGCCTCGTATACGGGCTATAATCAGGAGGACTCTGTCATTCTGAACGCGTCGGCCATCGATCGCGGATTCTTCCGATCCGTGTTTTACAGGTCTTACAAAGACTCGGAACAGAAGCGAATGGGCGATCAGGAGGAACAGTTCGAACGGCCCACTCGTGACACCTGTCAGGGCATGAGAAATGCCATTTACGACAAACTCGAAGACGACGGCATTATAGCGCCCGGAACTCGTGTGTCCGGCGATGACGTGATTATCGGGAAAACATCATTACTGCCCGAAAACGAGGACGAATTGGAGGGACAGATCAAGAGATACACAAAACGTGATTCCAGTACTTTCTTGCGCAACAGTGAGACAGGTATTGTTGATCAGGTGATGATCACAATCAACAACGATGGTTATAAGTTCTGCAAAATACGCGTCCGTTCCGTACGTATACCACAAATTGGCGATAAGTTTGCTTCAAGACATGGACAGAAGGGAACGTGTGGTATAGCCTATAGGTATGCATTCATTCATTAAATATTTGCCGTATTATTCATTCATTTATTGGTCACTTAAAAGGCAAGAAGATATGCTGTTTACGTGCGAAGGCATTACACCGGACATCATAATCAATCCGCACGCCATCCCATCCCGTATGACAATCGGGCATTTGATTGAATGTCTTCAGGGAAAGGTTTCGGCCAATAAGGGAGAGATAGGAGACGCCACTCCTTTCAACGATACCGTTAACGTACAGAAGATCTCCGATTTGCTTCACGTAAGCACTGCATTGACTGTCATATTATTTATTTGAATGAATACTTACATTGAGTGACACAAATGACAGGAATATAACTATCAATTGCGAGGCTATGAAGTGATGTACAACGCGCACACCGGACGCAAAGTCAGCGCTCAGGTGTTCATCGGTCCCACTTATTACCAGCGCCTAAAACATATGGTCGACGATAAGATCCACTCGAGAGCCAGAGGACCCGTTCAGATACTGGTTCGACAGCCAATGGAGGGCAGAGCGCGCGACGGAGGCCTCCGTTTCGGTGAAATGGAGAGAGACTGTCAGATATCTCACGGCGCGGCGCAGTTCCTGAGGGAGCGCTTGTTTGAGGTGTCGGATCCCTATCGCGTCCATATCTGCAACTTGTGTGGACTCATATGTATCGCTAACCTAAGGAACAATACGTTTGAGTGCAAGAACTGTCGCAACAAAACCCAGATATCGCAGGTGCGGGTGCCGTACGCCTGCAAACTGCTCTTCCAAGAGCTCATGTCGATGCAGATCGCGCCCAGAATTGTGGTCAACCCCTCCTAAAATCATTGTTTATTTTCATTTTAATTCTTCATTTAAATTTTGCTCTGATATTAATTTTTTTAATATTTTGCTTATAATCAGTGAAATGACATGTATTTTATTATTTAATGACTGTTTAAATAGAGTGTCTTTTGATTGAATAAAAATAATTCTGTATTAAATCCGAATATTTCAATAAAATTTGGAAATTATTTTAAAATACATCGAAATATTAATTTTGCAATAATTTCTCAATTAATCGATTGCTTTGAAGTTTCTTTAAAGTGAGTGCAAAAGCGAAGTAATAGAAAGCAGAGACCACTCGTTGGACGACAAACACGGAAACGATGAGTGTTTGACTCTTCCATAAGATTCTGTTCACTTCCAGTCCATCGATGTATTCACGCCAATGAAGTCCGACATTAAGCACTTGCAGTGTAATCGTAAGGGTTATGTAAATAACAGATACGGCAAGTGATGACCAAAATCGGTAGAAAATAAGCCGAAGAGTTCCGGTTCTCAGAGCTTCCACATTGAAGTAATAAAGCAGTAAAAGTATTAACGATAGGATTAGACACAAGTCTTGTACCACGAAAATAGAGAGTTGTCTCAGAATATTATCATTAAAGTAATCGCTGAAAGCATTGGACAGAATATCTATTGTAATGAATATGTATTGAATTATAGTTATCACTCGATTAGACATTATTCTCGACACTTATTCCTCGACAATAAATTCAACGCAAAAATAAAACAAAGTTATGGAAACAAATAACGAAACCATAGAAACCATTTGAAACGGAATTTGGTTTCATTTAAGCCAAAAATGCAAGAATTTCTATCATTTATAACCGAATCCATGTATTGCTGAGAGACATGACATTCAATTTGGCTAATATTCAAATAATGTCCATCACGTCAATGATTATACTAATATCACTTATAATAGAGATTAAGTATACAGTAATGAGTGGAGTGTGAATCAGTATAATTAACCAATTTGTTGATCGAATGACAGCTTTAAACATTACATACAAATAGTGATTTCAATAAAACATTTCATTAATTAAAATCACAAAAATTAGAATAAAATTTATTTTTAAAAATCTCTGTGTATTGTATTCTTCAATAGATAAATACAACCAAAAATTCATTTATCATAAAAATAAAATAAAGCTTTTATAGTTTGAAAGATTGTATTTTTATAAAAACAATAGTATTTATAAAATAATGTATTATTTACTACAGAATGAAATGGTATTAATGAATGAAATTTATACACAAAAATAAAAACTAATTACAAATTAAGATTTAAATATAGGAAAAACTCAACAATGAATTAATTTAATCGGATTCGAGATGCGTTAGGATTCGTTCAAATTGTTCGCTTCCGACCAAATGTGTGGCCGAATCGTAATCATTGATATCATTGAACATCGACTTCAGGACTCGAAGGTGTCGAGTGTCGACGATATGATGAAATCGCACGAAGACTACATCCAGAAGTGTTTGCGCGACGCTATGCTTACATCTGGCGAACTGTTGAGAGCTATCGTTCAGTTACTCAGACTTTGTATTGATTTCTCCACATTTATGAAAGTAAATGCAAACATATTTCTCATTCAATTTATTATTCATTTTATTTATTATGCATTTATTTGGTCTCTTATGTGAAGGACTCTCAGTGCCATTCAACACAATACGAACTCTTGGGATCTACTCAAGTGTTTGAGTGCCATAACAACCAAAGAGATATCTGTGTTAACATTAAGGAGAGCAAAGAGTTAGATATCAGTTTCGAAGATCACATCAGTTCTCTGCAAACAGAGTTTGATATGTTTTTACATGAATTACTCGATGCCATCAAACTTCAAACTCAAGAGAGTTATACAATGATTCCTGTCTTGAATCGGTATATTCTTTGCCCCGAATTTATTATTCATATAATTTCGTTGTTTAACTCATTGTATCGTTTTGTCCCACTCTTTAGTCTGGATTTCAATGGCTTTTATCAATCATTTGAGTCGAAGAATGATTACCAAATGTAACATATCTGCCATCAACTCATCGCAAGACATCATTTCATCACATTTACTGTTATAGCAATAGATCTGAGATCAGAACAAATCTATGGATAATCTGATTGAAACATTTTTATACAGTATTCAATAGTTTTCTAAATACATATATATTTGTCTAGTCTTTAGCCAAATATCATATAATTCTAACACATTTTAACTTAAATTTCTTGCATATATTTCTTATAATTAAAAACAATTAATAATTAATTATTAGTTTATTTTGAATCAATAAAAAAGTAACTTTTTGCACAATTTGAACAATATTTATTTCTGTACGTAATTTATGGATGAATTTACTAATAAACTCAGTGATTGGCTGAGAAGCGCAGCGATTGTGCCAATGGGTGCTCAGCGAGCGTGCGATTGGTTGAAACGATTGAGTGACCGGTATATTGTTGTCATGAAATCAATGTTTGAATTTTAAATGAAAACAAAAGCAAATGAAATGTTGTTTTAAATTGTGTTTACGTTTTGTATGTGTTTTGCGTTTAACCACAAAATCATTGCAATTGTCTGACCATTGAATCGATGACAACATGTCTTCAAAGCGAAGACCGAAATCTATACTAAAAGAGCCGGCGATCGGTATCTTCGAAGAGGTGTTGCCGTCGCGACCGCCGCCACAGCCGTCGTCTTCGGGAGCCGTCGGACGCGCAGAACAGCTGTTCGACAACTTTATCGCCGGTAATGTCGTCACGAAGAGAGTTGTGGACACGTATTCAAACCGCAACCGCAAACCCTTTACCACCATTTGTGCCAATTTGGGCCCAAAACAGACTTCTCTCGATTCCAGTGTCGACGAAGAGTGCGGTGACGGCGACGGAGACAATGACTTTGAGCCCAAGACTAAGGCGTCCAGAATTCGGCCGAAGAAGAAGCCGCCGAAAGCCAATCAAAATCGAGTGAAATTCATGGATATTAGTGAACATAAAGCGACCAAAAAGTGTCAAAACAAGAAGACTGTGTCTAAGAAGAGCGCCGATTATCCCGACTGTACTAAAGAAGCGCTACTCAAGGCCTTCGAAGAGGCGGGTCTTCCGGATTACGAGGAGATCGCCAGATATGAGTTGCACACGACTAACGTCAAGGATGTGGTCAAAGCGTATCCGCCGACGCCTTCAATGAATGACATTTTGAAGCCGTTCGCAGATCTGGTCGACTGGTCTAAGGCCGACATCACTCAAGATGTGACTCTCGATGTCGAGGACTATGAGAACAATGCTGTCTCAGTGCCACCCATGGAGAAGACGACCACTGATTGGGAGACCGAACCAAATGATAGCAATGACAACGAAGTGTTCGTCGATTCAGACGTCGAGAGTTCATCGAAATTGTTGTCGAACCGAACCGTCCGAAAGGCGTCGACTAAATCAATGCCAAATACCGCTCGAAGTCGAAGCAAATTGAAGCTCCGAACGAGTCGTGAGAGTATAGCGACGGCTGGTTTGGGCGCCGCCCGTATCGCCAGCACTCCTGTCACCCGCAGACATAACGTGACGCTCAAGAATGTGTCGCCCATTGAATCCACGGAATCTCCTGTCGATTGTGACACTAAGAAAGCGAAAGTAACGCAAATGGAGAACACATTTGTGGCACCTCTTCCTGTCGTCCAAAGACCTCAGCGGTCGACTCGTCTCTCGCGTAGAGTTCATAAGGTGTCGACGATTCCACTCGTGAACAATAGGCTGGAAATCGTGGAACCAATGCTTTCAGATCTCGAGAAAGTGACACAACACAGCCGTTCGGACAGAATTTCTCGCACTTTGATTGACAGCGAAAACAGTTGCAGCGGTTGTGAAACCAATGAATCGCAAACTCTGGTCGAAAAGACCGCTCTCGAAGGCGCTTCAAATAGCGGTGAAAACACTTTGATCTCAAATAAGCGCTCAATTCTTAGATCTAGGAATACGTCAAATGAGTTGTCGAGTATTTTTGCGCCGAAGATTAGATCCACACCTTTAGTGCCATCGGAACAAAAGCAACTGAATTCCAGAAACGAATTGATTGTCGACAGATCTCATTTCGATGTCTCCATGTTTAAGATGTGTCGATCGTTGAGCGCCTCTCACATCGAGCCCACGGCAAAGAAGACGACGACAATAGTGCCCGTCATTAACACCGATGCCTTCAGAAGAAGCGCGTTTAGTTTCGGAATAGTATGCATGGCTGTCTCGTAGCGTAGGCAGGTGAGCGTCATGTTAGTCAGAAGTGTCGGTAAGGCTTGTCAGCACTCCTGGCGGTGAGGGCAGCCGCGAGTCAGTTTTGCTGAGTTTGGCGACACTCAGACCATAAGAACTCAGTTCGCGTCTAAAGAGCAACTCAAACAATGTATTGATTTGTCTTTAAGTCAGACATTGTTCTCCGCGTCTAAGGTTGTGGTCGACGGCCGGCAAACACTATTGAGTGCCAAACATAAAGTTTTGCTTCTTTGCGATCCCAACGAAGTGATTGATTTCGAGGACGTCTTCGAACCAAAAGTGCTTAAAACGTGTCGAAAGATCGGCGAAGGATCGTATGGAGAGGTGTTTATGGCTAAAGACAAGACCGGCAGAGATATAGTGATTAAAGTGATTGCACTCATCAATAATGGAGACCAAGAAGAAGAGGAGTTGTTTTCGCAGATTTTGCCCGAATTAGTCATTTCTAAAGAGTTCAATAAATTGAAGACAGGGTTGACGTCCAACAGAGCGCCCAATTATATCGATATGTTAAGAGTGACCGCAACTCGCGGTCTGTTTCCCCAGAAACTGATGGACGAGTGGAATGCGTTCGACGACGAGAAGACCAGTGAGAACGAAGACCCCAAGAATTACACCGAAGACCAGCTCTACGTTGTCCTACAGCTGGCGAACGGCGGCACAGACTTAGAAGCGCGTCAATTCAAGTCAGCGGTCGAAACGTTGAGTATTTTCGGTCAATTGGCGCTGTCGTTGGCGGCGGCGGAGATGGCCTACGAGTTCGAGCACAGAGACATGCATTGGGGCAATGTTTTGGTGTCGATGGCAGACGTGTCTCATCTGCAGTATTGCGTGAACGGCCAGAACTACAGTCTGCGAGCGAATGGTGTGTTCGCATCGTTGATCGACTTCTCGCTGTCGCGTATGTCGAGCGACGGATTCATTATTTACGACGATTTGGAGAAATACAGTGATCTGTTTGAAGGCCGCGGAGACTATCAGTTCGACGTCTACCGCAAAATGCGAGTCAATAACCAAAAGGATTGGCAAAAGTTTAGTCCGAAAACAAACATTTTTTGGTTACACTATATGTTAGACAAAGTGATTAAAGAGAAGAAGTATTCGTCGCACCGAACGAAGAGTCACCGAAACTCAATGCAAGTCCTGAAGTCGATGTTCAATGATGTCCGAAAACAAACATTTTTTGGTTACACTATATGTTAGACAAAGTGATTAAAGAGAAGAAGTATTCGTCGAACCGAACGAAGAGTCACCGAAACTCAATGCAACAGGACTTCAGCTACAAGTTACTATAGTTACTAATGCTAAGCCGGTGTGTAAACCAGCCTTCGCTTGTTAAACTTGCTTAGGATTGCGTAGAGCTTAGGCTAATTTAATTAAGTAACAACTCAAAAATGTATTTAAATATAAAATATACCCTTAATTTGTCACTTGTTTTTGGATATAAACATCGATTAATACAATTTCATTCTTGTATTCTAACACTTAATTGTATTGTAATATGAATACAGTAAAAGCTAAGACAAAACAAAACATTATTTGCTATAATAATTATTTAATTTGATCATCTCTTTAAAGTTATAAGAAATAATTTTGTAAATTTTCACATTTATTTTTAAATAAAAATTATTAATTAGTGTTTGCATTGAATGTACGGAATATTCCGTTCCGACGAACGGCTTGTATCTCACGGTCCGAGACATCAATCCGTCGGCTAAACGATTGTCCGGAAACGCTATATTTCTGTTAACAGCCTGTTAAGTAGTGATTTAATATGTGTGTAAATAGCGATTGTTTTCGCAATGATTACAAATAACTGTAGTTAAAGCCATCAGAACTCTACATTAGTTTCCGGTATAGTGTCAGTATTGACCGCCAAGTGATGACAAAAATGCTCTCGAGTTGTGGCGCAAAGAGATGACAGTCTTTGAATGAGTTGTCATTCATTTCATTTTCGGTAGTCTTGAGATGTAATCAAAGGCCATATCAGTCAGTATTGACCGCCAAGTGATGACAAAAATGCTCTCGAGTTGTGGCGCAAAGAGATGACAGTCTTTGAATGAGTTGTCATTCATTTCATTAATATTTAGCCACAAGTGAGTCATGTGTTTGGCGTTTGGGAAACAACTTTCAAACGAGAAGTAGTTTTCAATTTGATAGTCAATACTATTATTCACTTTAAACTTAAACACTTTAACGCATTCAAAGTGTCTGAACGAGTGGTACAACTGTTGAGCGGTGGGGAAGTGATGGACATACATATCAAACCTCTCTAACGCCGTACACCGGGAGGCGAACCGTTCAAACCCGTTGGTCATTGGCTGCGCCCCGAGTGCTGCCAATTGTAATTCATTCAATTGCTGACAATTTGACAGACTTTCAAACATGAGGCCATCGATCGGGAATTGAGCGTTGAGTTGGAGTCTCTGTAAACCCGGCGTTCGGGACAATAGTGTGACCACCAGTGGGTAATCCAATGAATCTATGCGAAAGTGTATAAATTTCATGTTTTCAAACACTATTCTGTGGTTTTCATTGTAAATGTCGGACAGATTATTGTAATCGTAATGCAATTCCTCGACATTAGGACACAGTGTTAATAGAGGTTCGGCTGTAGTAGTGGTGGTACCCGATATGGCAGGGGTTATATTTCTTATTACTTTAACGTTGTTTCGTACAATACAATCATATGTATCTTGGTCGAGTACTTGATCAGGCTCTAAATTAAAACTTTTAACATGTTTGCAATGTTCAATAATTAATTGTATAATTTGTTGATAATTTTTAACACTGTATCGCATATTGTGTTCATAATGTGTAAACAATATGTACTTAATATTTGGCAGTTTACTGATTATGGTAGTGATTGTCTGTTTATTAATAGTGACAGGCGATCTATTTGAAAAGCCACCTTGGTGGATATAAAGTGTTTTTTGTTTGGCAAATATTA